GTGGCCTCCTCTAGACTTGCTCCAACAGTTCCATGTCCTTCTTATGTTGAGGACACCAGAACTGTGTGCAGTATTCTAGGTGAGGTCTCATGAGAACAGAATAGAGGGGAAGAATCACCTCTGCTCAGAAGTGTCTGCTCAGAGAGTCTCCAGGAGGGAAGGAGCACCCACTGCCCCAAGGGACCCTGCTAGAAACACCCCAGGACACTGCAGGTGCCTTCCTTGGGCTGTCTGAGGTGAGTTTTGAGCTGATCTGGAGCTGCTGAGCAGTGACTCCCTCAGAGCATCCACACTGCCTCACCATTCCCTTTTCAAGGAATGTCAGGACTGCAGGAGTACTTGTGTACACACACAGAAAATGCACTCAAAACTCTCTGTGCTAATGATGGGCACTAATGACTTTATTCAAATGACTCTGCAATGCTCCTTGTTGTCTCTGTTCCTGTATCAGTGAGACACCAGAGCTGCTCTCTCTGCTCTTTCTGGCAGTGCCTGCTCAGAGCTTTGCACTGCTTTAAACTCCTCAGCATTTTCAGGTCAGAAACCTCAGCTGCTGTGACTCACAGGGCAGGTAAGGGAAGGTTACAAACAAGATGTTGGAAGGTTTTGAAGAAATTTAGTCTGTGCAGTGATTACTTTGCTCCTGGGGCCCATCTGAGCCCTGGAGCTGGGATTGCAGTGCCCAGCACAGTACGTGCTGGAGGCTGAGCACTTCCAATTCCTAGAGACAAAACAAATCTCTCTGAGGAAGCTTCTGTACACAAGATATTTCCTTCTGATATTACTTCCCATTTGTCTCATCTTGATAATCAGAATGCTTCTCCAAAGCCAAGTGACTTTTCATTACTTCACAAAAACCCTAGGAATTTAGTCCAATGCTGCACCAAAGTAGCAAGCTCAGGTGTTGGATCTGCTGGCAAGACATACTTGGGAATAATTCCAGGTCTTCTGAATCGATGACTCTAATTAAAACAGCCCCAGAGCAGCCACCTCACCTCACCACACAGCAAAGCCCTTGCACTGTACAGACTTCACTTCTCTGCTGTGTGAGAGGACAACGCGGGGATTTACAGCCCTGCAGATCCCAGAACTCTGAAGATGGAACTGCTCAGAGATTCCTTGGATATTTATAAACCTACAACAATTAACAAAGCCAAGCAGCTCACTAATAGCTGTTTTTCTCCACGGCCTCTCATCTCATCTCAGAGCAGGAGATGTTCTATGCCAGCAGTTGGGGTTGGACTCCTCATCAACCCACAGGGAGCAAAATCAGGTCTCACATTCCTCCTGCTCACCCCAGTCAGAAGCCCAGGAAGCTCCCAGCTCTCACTGGAGTCTGTTCCTGGGCTCAGGACTCACCGATCCAGCACTCCAGGCGGGCACAGGGCGTTGTCTTCACCACATCAGGAGGGTCCACACCGACGTTTAGGCACAAAACTAAGGCAACACTTACAGTCTTCATCTGCAAAGAGAAGCAACAACACACCTGGTCAGGGCAGGACAACATCTGTTTTCCCTTGGGCTGGAACTTCTGAGCTCCAGAACTCCTGCAGGGCTGTCCAGCCCCTGTTACCTGCTCTCCCACAGGGACTATTTTAAGCCAGGCCTGATGAGGTTGATCACATTCTTTATCAGGACAGGACTCAGACCTGATGTTACTATATTTATTATTATTATTTCCAGAGCTCATTCTTCTCTTTCTGAGCATGGAAATGAGTATCAGTGAACTTGTGCTGCTCATCTGAAATTAGTCATTGTCCAGCTGAAACACATTATTAAAACATGGGGAAATGCTATTCAGGTCCCTGATCAATATTATAATGGAGTGTGTGAGCTCTAATATTAAAACTAAAAGTATTACAATGGAAAAAACCCCAAGTGATCAACTAAACCATTAAAAAAACCTAAACCAAACACATTTAGTCCATTTTTAATTTGGGTTTTTTTTCATGTGTTAGTTATCCTGGAGAGCTTTACTAGGACAAATCCTGGCTTGGCTCCCTCCCTGGGTCTCCCCAGCTGCTGCTCCAGCATCACCCCTGGCACTGCCCAGGCAGTACATGGGACATGCCACCAAATCCAAACCCCCCAGACCTCACCTGGGTTCAAATCCTGTGTTAAACCAATGCCTAAGCACGACAGACAGCTAAAAATACTGCTTGAATATTATTTCACATCTTTATGCTCTTCTCTACACTGCCTCATCCCAATGCCTAAGCCAGAGGAGGGAAACAAAAGCAGTGACGTGGCTCTCAGCAATTCCATCAGTGCTTGCCTGCAGCAAGGCCACCCACACCTTCACTTCCCCAGGGTGCTCACTGCAATTCACAGCAGGAGGGGGGGAAATCCCACATTTCACACTTAGAGAAAACCCCACAGCCACACAAATGTATAATTTATAAGGAAACTGGAGCAGCAGACACTACTCACAGGGGGAGGGAGCACAGGCTGCACACCAGGACACCCTGCAGTGTCTGCTCACTCCCATGGCCACAGCAGGGAACAGGGAGTGGAAAATTAGCAAGAACTGTGGTTAAAGGCTTCATCCCAAACTGTGTTGTTGCTAACAAACCCTGTAATCATGTAGGAGTTCCTCATGCCCGGGAGGTACCAAGGAGTAAGCAGCATTTGCCAGCAGAGAGATGAAAACAAGAGTCTGCACAGGGATCCCCATGAGCAGGATCTTCCCAGGAACGACACGTGGATGGGGTGGAAATATCCACAGCTGGAGTTTGGCACTGAGGACACATGCACTTAGGGTATTTTATCAAAACTAGTAAGAATCCATAGTAAAAGTTCCTGGCAAATGAGGATCAGTGCAAGGTGCAGCTCAGCCCTCCAGACCCTTCACCATCCCAAGCAGCACAGAGTGTTAGAGACCACCCAAAGCTCCCCCAAAACAGCTGAGCATTATGGACCTGCTGGCACTGCCCTGCCCACAGGGACAGCTCTGCAGCTCTCACAGCCTCCCAGCAGGCAGAGGGCTGCAGGGAGAGCAGGGCAGGAGCACTGCCAGAGTCAGCACACGCTGGGAAACACGTGCTGAGCCCCCAAGGGAGCAGACACAACTACAGACAAAATAACTTGTTAGACATGGAGACACATAAATCATTTCTCCAAGAGAAAGCATCCTGCCAAACAATCTTCCCCATCTCGTGTATTTATTGTTTCCCATTTGCAGTCTAATACTGATGTATTTTTCAATACTTTGCTGGTAAGGTCTGATCAGTGACTGATGCTGCACAGGTTGATGTTTATTTTCCGTTCCCAACTTCAGGGGTTTAAATAAGCATTTCTTGGGGAAAACTGTCAGCAAACTGTAATGAAAGGAACAGGAACTGATCCCAGAGACAAATGGGGTGATTTCCCCTCTGCCACCTCCCCCAGGGATGTAAAGTGTCATCCTCTACCATGATCTGTTCTGCTAACAAGGAGCACATCCTCAGCAAGAATTACAGCTCAGTCCTCTCCCCTCCAACCACTCCTCCACATCCATCCATGGTGCTGAATCATGGAGTCATTTGGATGGGAAGAGACCTTAAAGCTGATCCAGTCTCAACTCCTGACACGGCAGGGACACCTTCCACTAGTTCAGGTTGCTCCAAGCCCCATCCAACCTGGCCTGGAACAATTCCAGGGATGGAGTCTGGGCAACCTGTGCCAATGCCTCAGCACCCTCACAAAGAAGAGTTTCTTCCCAATATCCCATCTATCCCTGCCCTCTGGCAGTGTGAAGCCATTCTCCCTTGTCCTGTCCCTCCAGGCCCTTGGAAATAGACTCCATCTTTCTTGTCAGCTCTCTTCAGGTCAGGTATTGGCACAATCAGGTCACCTCAAAGCTTCTCTCCTCCAGGCTGAACAATCTCAACTCTCTCAGCCTTTCCTCACAGCAGAGCTGCTCCATCCCTCTAGTCATCTTGGTGCCTCCTCTAGACTCACTTCAACAGCTCCATGTCCTCCCTGTGCTGGGACCCAGAGCTGGAGGCAGCACTGCAGATGAGGACTCACCTGAGTGAGCAGAGGTGCAATCACCTCAAAGCTTCTCTCCTCCAGGCTGAACAATCTCAACTCTCTCAGCCTTTCCTCACAGCAGAGCTGCTCCATCCCTCTAGTCATCTTGGTGCCTCCTCTAGACTCACTTCAACAGCTCCATGTCCTCCCTGTGCTGGGACCCAGAGCTGGAGGCAGCACTGCAGATGAGGACTCACCTGAGTGAGCAGAGGTGCAAAATCCCCTCACTGATGTGGGATCAGCCCAGGACATAGTTTTTGGGTGTCAGTGCACATTACACATGAAAAACAAAAAAGCCTGGGCCAAAGAAACCCAATAAAGCTTTTCACATTTCTAAACTCTTTTGGAACATACTAGGAGCTTCACTGCATATTTAAAGTCTCTTAAGCAGGATGAAGACTTCGCATCCATCACTAAGACAGTGGAAATTTTCTTTCCCCTATTTCAGGAATATCTCCACCAGGATATATATTTCGAGGGGTTTTTGTTAGAATTAAAAGATGAAGCAGAAGAATGTTTGGCAAGCTTGTAAGAAAACCAATACCCAAACTGCTTCCTCAGCAAAGGCTCCAGATCAGCCCCAGAGCAGCTCTGAGGTGCAGGATCTGCACTGTGGAGTGTTATCTGTGTGTTAAAAAAAGGGATACAATTCCCAGGTTTGCATTGCATCCCATTTAAAATGATTTAATAGCTCTGGGTAAGAACCTGCACTACTGAAATTGCAAAATGCACTTGGTGACAATGCTCTTCCTGAGCAGTGATGGTGTGGAGCTCCTGCCCGAGCCCATCGGGCTGTGAGCAGAGGGAGCTCTGTGCCTGCTCCGAGGAGAAGATGCTTATTAAAGCATCTGACATGGAAATTTACATCTTAGACTGAAGATCAGAGAACTTGTGAAATATTTCTTATTCACCTCTTATTTCCTTTAGGGACCAAACAGATCTGCAGGTGAGGACAGAGCAATTTATTTTCCAGCAAGAAAAAAACATTACATTATCTTCCTAAAAATGGGTTGGATTGAAAACATGAAGCTTTATCATCTCAGGGAGCCCAACTGATCCTACTGGAGCATCCCTGAGAGTGATTCCCAAAACCAAGACACCCCATTTCAGTGCTGAGGATTTGTTATAGCCTGAGCAAGAACAGGTTATTATCCAAGAGTCATAGAACTGCTTCATTTTCTAGTTCAGGTAATACGAGGAACAAGTCAATGCATTTATGAGAAATTTGGCATTTTGTGGTACATCTCAGGATGGATGTTTTAAAACCCATAAATATTTGATTCCTACACTGCAATTTGCAAGCTGAAAAGTTTCTGTTTAAACATTATTACCCAGATGAACACTCAAGTGTTAGAAACCTGCCTGGGTCTGTGCCAGGAGGTTCACATTGCTCCGGAGTTAATACAAACACAAGATTAAGTCAGCATTAAACATGAAATATATGCTGCTGCATTACTTTACAGAGTTGAGGGTGAAGTTATCAGCATTAAACAGAAATACTGGGAGAGATTTCCAGACTCCAAGTCCTCTATCAGTCTCATTTGGAAATCTTCACTGCCCAGGAGGCTCAATTCCCTGCTCAGGCGGGAATTCATTCCCTTCCTAAGGACTCTTTTGGGCCATTTTTCCTCCACACAGATTTAGTCCAAGCCTCTGCACCAACAGGCAGGCCCAGCCAGGTGCTCCCCAGGTAACTCCAGAGCGTTGGCTCCCCTGGAGATGTGCCATTAAACAAGGAGCTCTCCCAACCCTGAGCAGTACCAGCAGCATTCAGCAACACCAAACACTGTTCTCCCTTTGGAGTTCCAGTGCACTTTGCAACACCAGAAATTGTGTTTTCTCTTTCCCAAGCTTTCCATTTCAGGCTCCCAGCTGAGAGGTGACAAGTGACCACACTGTGTCCAGGCAATGTTCCAGGGCTCTGGCAACACAGACCTCTGAGCAGTGCCAGTCTGCAAAGCAGCCCCTGAACAGCCTCAGAGTAGTGAACAGGTAAAGCCCTGACCTTCCTGGTCCCCTCCATCACAGACCTGCACACAAAACCCATGAAAGGCTCTGAAGGAGTGACTCAGGACATATCCCACATGGACATGACTTCTCTCAAGCAGGAACAGGCAGCAGGACACAGGTCCCTGCAGCACAGTGGGTGTGTGTGCCACGTTGCCCTTTGGGCAGTCACACACTCCACTGAGCTCTAATGTGCTGCCCTTCCACTCTCATTCCCCACACACTGAGATGATGAGCACCACATTTACTCTCATTTTTAAATGGATCTTCCTCCAGCAGGGCAAATATCAAAGGGAGAGGGACATACCACTCCTCCTCAGCTCACCCTGCACCACCTGCAAGGTAAACAGCTAAAAAGGAAGAACTTTCAGTTTCAAGGAATTTTTTTTCAATGTAAACTTTTAGATAAATAAACAGTTATGGAAAAAACTCTCAATGTGCTTC